GGCTCTTCTCCAGTGAGTCCTTCCTTCTCATTAGGTGGCCAAAGTATTTGAGTTTCATCTTCAGGATCTGTCCTTCTAAAGAGCAGTCAGGGTTGTTCTCCTCTAGGACTGACCTGTTTGATGGCCTTGCAACTTCTATAATTTGGAGTTAAATCTTTGGTGTTATTCCTGATTCCTTAGATCTCCACCAAGGGAACTCTTCTAGCTTCTCAGTTATAAACCAATCTTCTGAGGATAGCTCTCAGCCAATTACTTCAAATTCTGAAGGTCTCTTTTTTTCAGATTCTTCCCTATTTGAGGAATATCCAGTTTAACAACAGTGTTGGAGAGGAAGTCTCCTTCTTAGAAAATGGACTGGGAACTGCTCATTATGATCTTGTCAATTGGATTTTCTATCCCAATCAATCTTTTATCCCAATCAAAGTTGGAAAAATGAATCCCAGGGCTTATCCAGGGCAGGATTTCATCATTAACTCTGATACAATTACCTGGGCAACAAAGGTGAGTTCCAAGTAAATGTGGTAGGTTCAGGGAAAGATTCCTTCAGTCCTGGGGATTCAGAACATTTTTCTATGTTGGAGAGCTTTTGGACAGTCATAGACCTATCTGGAAAGGGGAGTCTTGAAGATTCTAGGTCCCTGTGGGAGTAGTCAGAAAGTCACTGGTCCTCCACCTTCCTCTTAGCAGTTCATTTTCTTACGCATTCCTGGGTTTTAACTTCACTTTTGATTCGTTGTTTCACTTTAATTTTCAACTTTAAAATCTGACCAGCTGGCTGAATGCTGATTTGTTTTAATCTCTTGCTGTTCTCTTCTCTTATTATCTGTTCTTCTTTTTTCTTTGATTTAGCTTGTTGTTTTGAATCATTTTTATTTTTCCATAAGGAAAATGGTGTCATGTTTGCTTTGTGTTTTGTCTGTTTGGTCTTCTTTAAAAGAAAAACGGAGATTTGTATTTAAACTGTTTTAGTAAAATAAAAATAGAACTAATTGAAAAATAGTCAGTTGAGTCAGAAAATATGGCAGTCATTTGGTGAAAAATCTGCTTTACACGTAAAAGTGTTTCTTCATAGGCCAAGGCCTCAATTCCAATGTTCATAATTCCATGTTGGGTCAGGAGTGCTATGGGCTTGAATCCCCCAAGACCTGTTCCTGGTTTTGGATAGAACTTGGTGAACCAGTTCTTCTGAAGACAGTCTGAATGTAGAAATGGGAATAGGAATACGGAATGGAAATCAGAATGTGGAAATGAATAAATGAAGCATGTTCACTATTTGGGTCATCTATTTCAGACCTTCCCATTTTCAAGGTGTGGCAGGAAGAGGTGCCAGGCAGGTGAGAAGAGAACCGTTCCAGAGGGCGAGCAGGTTTGCTGCTACCACTGTGACACTTGTCCAGAAGGGACCTTTTCTAATCAGACAGGTAGACCAGACTTCAAACATAGATATTCCAGAATCGAGGAGGCCATTTAAGAGGTCAAAGTATTGTTTGATATTGTTGTCATTTTTCATCAGATTAATAAGAACTCATAAATTTCAGAAGAACATTTTAATTTATGACTGAGACTATTATGGCCCAATAGGCCACCTTTCCTGTTACTCAGCAATTTCATGCAGGATAATTTCAAGGCTCAATTTATGAATCCTCAACTTGTGTTTCTTCTCCTACCATAATATCGAATTGGGAAAACCAACTTCAAATCCTTCCCTGAAGAAGTGGGGTGTGCAGTTCAAGCTTTAGTGTTTATTAAATTAAAATTCCTGGCCAACAGATCTATTGGTCTTCTGTGAGGTCCAGTATAAAGTGGGGGAAAGACATGGGCAACAATCCCAAACTGAAAGTTACAGTAGTCATGAAAATGCCCAGTGAGTGGACAGCTGGAACTGAATAAATCCTGGTCTCTGGCTAACCTATCCCCAGGATCATGAATGAAGAATGATTTGTCATATTTGATGTCCCATAAATTGTACAGTGGGTCCTTTCATCCTACATTATGTGAGTTGGCTGCAAGAAAAAGGGAACAGTCATATCACCCCTATGGGAAGGATAAGTTTCATGGCAGATACCCCTGAAATCCTTACATGAAGACTCTTGATTTCAGATGCAGTTGACTGTGAATCCTGCCCAGAAGATGAATATCCCAATAAGGAAAAGGACCAGTGTATTGCCAAGAAGATCCACTTCCTTGACTATCAAGAGCCCTTGGGACACATTTTGGTTTTTCTTTCTTTCTTTTTCTCTGTGATCACTTCTGCAGTCCTGGTTATTTTCTATAAACATCATGATACACCAATTGTCAAAGCCAACAACCGATACCTAAGTTATATCCTTCTGATCTCTCTCCTGCTTTGTTTCCTCTGCTCCTTCCTCTTCATTGGTCAACCAGGGAAGCTCACATGTCTCTTCCAACAATCTGCCTTTGCAATTCTCTTTTCCCTTGCAGTTTCCTCTGTATTGGCAAAAACTGTCATGGTGGTTCTGGCCTTCATGGCCACCAAGCCAGGAAACAGGACAAGGAAACTCTTAGGAAAACCACTGACCAACTCCATCATTTTAACCAGTCCCCTGGTCCAAGCACTTCTTTGTGCCACTTGGTTGGGAACTTCTCCTCCATTTCCAAGCTGGGACTTTCATTCCTTGTTTGGAGAAATCATCTTGGAATGTAAGCAAGGTTCAGTTTTCATGTTTTACATTGTCCTTGCCTATCTAGGACTTTTGGCCCTTGTCAGTTTCACTGTGGCCTTTCTGGCTAGGAATTTGCCTGACAACTTTAATGAAGCCAAGTTCATTACTTTCAGCATGCTGGTCTTTTGCAGTGTTTGGATCACTTTCCTCCCCACCTACCTGAGCACCAAAGGGAAATCTATGGTGGCTGTGGAGATCTTCTCCATTTTGGCCTCTGGAGCTGCTCTCTTAGCTTGTATCTTCTTCCCCAAATGCTACATTATTATTCTGAGGCCTGATCTGAATTGCAGAGAAAATATAGTAAGAAACAAGAATTTCTAACTAATACAGGAATTGACCTCATATATATTTGTTTTTGAGGAATGTTTAGAACATGATATTTTTTTAAAAAAATATTGAGACAAGGAGGAACTTGTCCATTAAATAATTCCTTCTCAAGTGCTGCAACTGATTACAATTTTTCAGTGGTCTGCAAGTATCATCCAGGCTTTGTTTATTGTGTTTTCAAAGTGTCCTCAGTAATGTTCATCCTCTGATTTGATGGGAAGCTTGTTCATCAATATGTGTTTATTATGACAAGGAGGATTTTTTTTCATTTTATTATTTTAATTTAGTTCATTTTTAAGTTCGTACTTTAAAGTAATGTGTTCAGTATTAGTGTTTTAAGCAAATATTATTGTTTCCATAGATATCCGTGGCTTTATAGAATTGGTTACCACTATTTAATTCTCTTTGAAATGGTAGAATTTAAATCCCCCTCACATATGGATTTTCTATACTTCCTCATCCATGTCTGGAGGAATTTTCCTAAGATGGATGAGCAAAATATTCCATAATTGTATGCAGTATGTTATCATCTCTTGTGAAATTTCATCTCTTGTGCTTTCCTGGTAAACCATGGTGCTCTACGAGATATGTGTGGGTACCTAGTCTCCAGAAGAATAATTTTACCCATGCCCAGGATCACAATCTAATTTCCCTAATGAGTGCATGTTCTATCAAGGTTATCCAGGGCATGAGATTCATCCCAGCTTCCTTACTTAAGTCAGGAGGCACCTGTCAATCACCCAGTCCTGTGATATTTAAGAGTGATAATCAGCACCTTGAATTGTATCTTGGAGGAACCTGGGAGCCAATGCAGCTCATGGAACAGAAATCTAATATGAGTGAACATAGAAATTCCCAATACTGTGAACACTTCTTCATTTTGGACCAGCTGCAGTTTTCAAGGGGTCTTCAAGTGTAGTTCTAATGCAAAAACATTACAGCATGAAACAGTAGAGAATATTCATAGCTCAGGTTTAGATTGTGGCAGTGATTTCTTCTCCAAGTTTCCCATTTAGCTCCTGGACATTTCATTATCCAACTACGGTATGTAACATCTTCAGTGGGACTTTGGGTGAAGTGTCTTGTTCTGTTTGTCTTCTCTTGATATCAGCCTTATGTGGTTTTGTGGTCAGTTGGTGGCATGACAGGTTGATTGTGAGGCACAAACTGGTGAGGAGGTGGTCAGTTCTGTCATTCATTAGTCATTTGGATGGTCCTGTTTATTATAAGTACATATGTTGCTTCTAAGTCAATGTGTTTATTGATGAAGCCTTTTGTAGAATGTCAGAATTCAATGAATTCATGTATATGATGGGTTTTGGCATGATGAATAATTTTGGATTTGGCCCAGTCAAAATAATATTGTTCATTTTCCACTTGGCTCAAGACCAGGGACTTCTGGTTATGACTTTCGACTGGTGTTCATGAATTCTAGTTTTCAAGTGTTGTCCTGTTCATCTAATGTAGAACTGGTTACAGTTGTTGCAATTGATTTTATTCATTATGTTGGTGCTTTCTTCATTCCGTAGTTTGTCTTTCATCTTTGTTAGTTCTTATCTGAGGGTTAAATGAGGGTTGTGAGCTATTGTTGTTCCCAGGGGTTGCCGTACCCTTGCAGCTACTTCTGAGAACAAGCTCAGGGAACAACGTCTAAAAGGGGAAAAAACCACTTTGCAGGAGTCCAAATGAGAAATGACCAAGACATGACTGACTTTGAGCAGAACCACCAGTCCTGGGTACAACACAATTGTTGTGTTGATGATAACATCTCCATTTCCACCAAATGGCCTCTCATGCAAGAAATAGAAACATAGGAGAAATATGTGTGAATTGGCCCATAGAATAGCAAAATCAAATTCTCTGGTTTCCAATCAGCTTCAACAAAATGTCTATGGAAATGTAACTGATATGTTCTTTTATTAAGAGAAGACTTCTTGGTTAAAGATAGTAACAATATAAGGGTGGGGAAATAACTAGAGACTTTCTTCATCATGAATATGTACGCTTACATTCTCTATTACTTAGGCATATATGATTCTCTCCCCTTTTCTGAAATGGATAAATATAAGTACATCCTTTTGTCTTCAAGAGTTCCTCCCAATTTCTGGATAGGATTTATCCAGGTTGCACCCTTAACAATAAAAACTGCCATGAAATTTGATTATCGGTTTTCGGTCCTGCATTTCATTCCAGAGTGGTTTTGGGAGGGAGGGAGATGAAGGATTAGGCAGCTGTAATAGCCACACAAACATTATGATTGGTCCTTGTTGAGCAAGGATAATTAAAAAGCAATTTTGCAACCTATCACCTTGACAACATTGACAGGTTTGTAAAAACTGGACAAAACCTGGAATCATTCCATAATTGTTGCAACATTTTCACTTAGCAAACACGTCCAGCATTATTTTGAAAGCAGCCACCAGAGACCTCATTCAATTTTGATCACTTGGAAAATGGTGGCCATTTCTCTAATTGTGCCATGGAACCATTTGACAATGTCATCCATTCTGCTTTTCTCATGGAGTCTATGCAATATTGCGGAAATCTTCTGATCTCCCATGGCTGGTTGGGTTTCAGAAGGGTGTCAACAACAGTGATTTTTGATCTCCGTAGTGTGAGCGGCCAAGGGTTGGACACAACAGAATGGCTGATGATGACAATGGTGATGTTAGTAGATCAGATTCTTCTAGAGAGCATCAGCACATAATAAGCCTATTTTAATTTGCATTGCCTGGACACCTGACTGTCCATGCTTGGTGCTTGATGACATTAAAGACCACCAAGTGGTCATGTTGATCCAGAATAGATGTACTGCCTTCATCCTGCTCCTTCAAAAGTTCATCTAAAAGTGCAACCAATACCATTTCCATCCTATATCAGTCCTGAACCTTCACTTCTCCAATATGTTAAGTTTGTTAAACAGAATGAAATTGAGTTGTGGAAAATCTCAGCACCCCTGTGAGCAACAGAGACGATAGAGGCAAGAATGATGCAAGAATGGAGGCCGAAAGTCAGGAGTTATTTGGAACAAACCTATAGTTGAGAGGCACCCAGCATGAATTCATCCCTGAGAGATGGGGTTGTTCACCCACCTATGAAGGATTATTTAGTTTGGCTCGTACTTAAGAAACAATTGCTGGGTCACATCATATTGTACAATTTTGGTGGACTTTGGATAAATCTGAATAAGAGTCCTAAGCATTACAGTGCTATGTCATCCAGAACCAAGGATGAAAAATACCACTTCTGGGAGAATCAAACATGCACAGCTGTTTTTGTTTGCTGGGGAGGGGTTCAAACTTAGACTCTTCCTTCCCATCTAACTTTGATGCACTAATGTGAAACCTTGATAGCACTGCTTGGTCAAGCAGTGGTTGAACAACTGAATATCTTCAACATACAAATGATACCAGACCTCAAACTGAGAAGGCTGTCCAGATGTACACTGAAAGTCAATGGAATTGGCTCAATCTCTCTCTTGCAACCATCACTGAATGGAACCACCTTCAGATGAAAGAGAGACTCATATAACAGTATGCAACCATTCCTGTTACTCCAATTTCTAATTTCATCTCCCTGTCAAGAGGTTGTTAAAAAACTGGTCATTCCATCCAAGCATTGCCATGACTGCTCACAGTTACAAGGCCACAACTGGGTCTCCTGTGCCACCAAACCCCATTAGCATACTAGCTGACCAACTATGGCCTAGGCCAAACTCCACCCTGTATGTATGTAGTCAGTTCCATGGAGGTCAAATACAAAACAACACCATCACTCCATTTTCTTTGTGCATTACAAGAAACACAAACATGTTTTTTTTCCTTTCTGGTGAATGAGAAGCTATTGCTTCCTTGCAATTATCAGAAGTATAGTGATTCTTAGTGTATCCCCTGTGGATTTCTAGATACAAAAAAATCCACGATAAAACCTGCTTTAAAAAAATATCTGAGTTTTGCAGATGGGGACGGAACATGTGATATTAGTCTGTCTTGCAATCAGCTCACTCCTGTGTTGGAAGAAACTCACATGCCTTTGTTTCTTCTATGGTCACAGCCAAAACACAGGTAAGATGAAGCATTGTTGATATAAATTTCTTCTGGGGCCATCCAGGTGACACAGGTGGTGTGCACTCTGCTAAAGTTTCAGTGAGATTTTAAGAGTAAATCAATTCAGTTTCTGCATAAACCTTGATTTCTGTTCTAGGAGGGAAGGTGATAAGAATGACCAGGCAGGAGTCATGCTGTTTCTGATACTGATGCTCTTCTGGCTCCTAGCTCCAACCTCAGCGGAGAGGCTGCAAACCATATGTGTGTTCCGGGATTATATCTTCTTAGATGAAAGCTACTACAGGACTGGTGATCTCATTATTGGTGGGAATTTGCCTTTGGGAACCATTTTAAAACCTCTTGTCCCACACTTTAATACATTGGATCTCCTTGTAAATAATGTGTAAGTTTCAGATGGAGGAGAAACATGCAGTTAAATATTCTCTTTGCTTTAAATTCAGGGACCTATTTCAGAAATAAAATAGGCTGCAATTCTCAATCTCTTTCTCATGGAGATAATAAACAACAAACATGAAGGGGTTCAGTAGAACATTGGAATCTGTCCTGGCATAGTGAAGAAGTTGAATTATAATATTAACCTGGACAGTAACTTGGGGTGGAAAATCCAAATAAAAGCTCGACACTCTTCCAGTGTTCAAGAGTTACAAAAATCCCTTTCAGTGTTGGAATCAGCATTGATCATGTATATTGACTTTCAGTAAATCTATGATGTGACCCCTATTGTAGTCCTGTGGTCAGAAATGTTTACCACACCTGCAGAAACTTTTCCAAAAGAGACCCTAAATTGTTAGCATAGAAGAGGAGGAGCTAGGAAGAATTACAACTACTGGAGCAAAGGGAAGATGGGAGACATAATAGAGGGCTATAAAACTATCAATATGTATAGAAAGGCTTGTTTCCTTTCTCACAAAGCCAATATTTATTTAGCCAATGGAGATCCTTTGAAAAAACCCAAATCCAATGAAATTTGAGAAACCTCCCTCAAGCAGTGAAGCAAATTCTAGCAGCACACATGAGCTTTCCTGTAATGTTCCCCATTGTTTTCCTAACTACAGATTCGTCCCTAATAACTACCAGCAGTTACTTGCCTTGATGTTTGCTGTCTCCCAGGTCAATAAGGATTTTCTTCTGCTCCCCAACATCACCCTTGGCTTCCACATCTATGGCCATTTCCAGAGTGAGATGTTTATTTCCTTAAACAGCCTCTCCATGCTCTCTTC